CAATAGAACTCTAAAATGTCCAGCAGCAAAAGTCTCATTCAATTGATGGATGAACGTAAGCAGTCCAATGTCAACAAATCCTTAATCCATAAATATCTTTATTTTTCTCAATGCTAAACATTCTAATTTTCATGTCTAATAGTTCAGTAGTATCCTGTATCAAAATTTCTGGCAATTTAATGGCACAGACCACCTTCATAGACAAAGAAAAATAAATAACAAGCATTATCTAATAGGATAATCACCATAAAATGTTCACTAACAACAATAAAAATTAAAACAACCAAAAAACAAAAAACATGTTCGCACTTATCAATACAAAAACGTCACAAGAAAAGCAACTCACAAAGATCAAACTGTTGCAAAGCAAAAACCTTGATACTCTCAGGCAATTCCCTAGTCCCTTCATTCGCGTACCGCCCGTCCAAAAGTAACAACCTGGTTAGGCGTTCCATTTTTCGCCTTAAATTCCTCCGCTAACAAACTACTTAAATCATCCCCTCCATTGTCTTCTTCCTCTGTAACCACCTCCAGCAGTCCCATCTCAGTCTTGCCAACCCCTCTTTTTCTCCCTCTTATCACCATTATCACTATCCACTTCAAGCTTTTTTCTCTTCTTTTCGGCTTAGAAATTTTTGCCAAGCTCCTAAACTTCTCATACCCTCTTGAATTAAACCTCCTCCACACAGCCTCCAGCAGCATTAGATCGTATATGTATTGTTCGAACGCCTGCGAACCGAACACTTTGGACATCGTCGACATTTGAGGCACCATCTTCGGCCATGATTCTGTCCTGCTGCTCCAGTACCTACCATAAAATCAAATTTGTTAGTTGTTGAGTTAAATCGAAATTGTAAGAAAGATATAGACATAGATAGAGAGTTACTGGGGTGTGCATCTTCCTCTTGCTCTGGTGTAGAGAAACCCTGGTGCTCGTTGCTGAGAAAAAGACGATTTTGTATTAAATTAATCATAAAGAGGTAGCGGAGCTCGATGATTTCACGGTGGAGGGTTTCACGATGGAGGGTTTTGTGGCTACTGGCTAGTGTTGGGGATGATGATTTGGAGCTTCTGGAGCGTATTAATTATGGGGGTTAAAGATTATAATTAGTTTTAGAGTATTATTCTAATTTGTTAGTTTTGGAGGGTATTTGGCCTAATTAACCCTAATTACAACCTCCTTGTTTTCCAAAACAGCCCATAAATGCTTCGCTGCTACAACTGCAAGAGCTTGTAGACCAAGGTACTTCAGATTCAGATCATTTTCCGACAAAAAACTTCTGTATTTTCATGATTGCAAGCTTCACTGCTGGTTCATAATCGCTCAAACTAGTTACAATAGTCTTGTATTAATCACAATATGTTTAAAGAAATCAGGAAAATGATTGTACTTTCTGCTGCCCATGTTATTGTATCTTTTGCTTTGGGATATAATCTATATTTCAACTATTTATTTACACCAAATTTTGGAATTTTCAATCACCACATTTTGCCCTTCTTTTCAACTTTACAACAAATATTTATTCCATCTATTTCCCTCTTTTATTTTTTGGAATTAATATATTTTAATTGATTCATAGTTGTTTTAATGTGATGGTTATCTTTATTTAACATTTATTTTTAAATTCTAATCAATTTATAAGTAATAATTATTTTTTCAATGTCTTCAATTCAACAGTTATGTTTAATTTTTTTTTTCAATTTATTATTAAATGCAACATTTTAGATAATTACATGTAATTTTTAATTTAACGATTTTTATAATAATATAATTTGCAATTAAACAATTCAAAATAAATATTGGAGTTAAACCATCTCCAATGGTTACACAAAATTTTACACCAATTATGGTGTAAAATTACACCAAATTTAGTGTTCATCATTGGAGATGATGTTACTCATGTCCATAAGAGCCCAAAGTTATTATTCGAACTATCGTCCTACCTATAGCAACCCTCATCCTTAACCATCCTTGGGATCCGCAGTGAAAACATAGTTGGCTATTTCATGTTGCATTACCAAAAAGAAAGAATAATGCAACTTGCAGTCGCTTATTGCAATCATCGCCCTATGTGACACACACATGTCAAATGTCACATAGGGCGATTGTTGCAGTGAGCGACTGCAAGTAGCATTACTTAAAATGAAATGATATGTCCAGAAGGAGCTGTTAATCTTCTGTAATTAAGAGAGACGAATCAACTAGATAGCTAGTTACAAATGTTCTAGTGCTTGTACCTTGAAAATTCAAGACCAAACTCTAGCTATTTTTCAGGATCAATAACATTTGAGAGATGCTACAATTACTGGGGGGGGGGGTCGACAACCCCCCTCACCGGCCCCTCACAATGGTGGGGGGGCCCTCATAACATTTCGACTGCACGAGAACATAATTCAAGGACACAAGCAGCGAGAAAAAAAAAATAGATCCACGTCCAATTCCAACAGCCATTGCAATAATAGTGCACCGTGGTTTTTCTGATCTGTTAGCTGATACATCAGATACATGATTGCCACTGGGACAAGATAAGTACCGTGATCACCACAGAGATCTGAGTTCCCTTCAGAGCTCGACGTTAAAAAGGCAAAGAATTTCCTTCCAGTAAGAATTGCTCCTTGTAGTCTTTATAAGCAACACTGAACTTTGACTAAAAAGCTGAGGTGAACTAAAGAAAGAGGTATCATCCCATTAAGATTGTCATGGGACAAATCCAAAGTCTCTAAGCTCATCATTCCAAAAAGTTCACTAGGGATGGATCTAGACAAATTGTTGCATTTCATATCCAAAACGTGTAAGCCTTTCAAATTGCCAAACTCTGGCCAAATTGGTCCTGTGAAAATGTTATTAAGTCCTGATCTTACCAAAAATCGTCACTTGTTGAATTCCGAGCTTGATCACTGAGATGTTCACGAACAAGATCTTCCGATACCTGAAACAAAGGCGTCGAGGTGTGTCATCGTCGCCCCTCCGATGCTTAAGTCAGATAGGGAAGTTGAGAGTATATGCTGAATATATGTGTGTAAAAAAAAAACGTACCTGAATAATGGATGGGAAGACTATATATATAGGGGGAAGGTAAGAGTTGTATTATGATTCATCTCCTTGTTTTCGGGAGTATGTATTGGAATATAATTAGGAGTCTAAACTTACCTTGTTAAAAGTGTTACCAAAGACGAGACTCCTTTATGATCCAGGATTCCTACATGATCTAGGATTCTCAGGTTGGGGGGTTGGTGTAGGGTTAGGAATCTTTCGGACTGAAGATTGGCGACACTGGGTTAGGAACACGCGAGTTTTATCTAAGTAAATATCTCGGGGCCTTTATTCCCGAGGACTCCCGAGTGATTATAGGGGCAAACTGGGGTGGTCATTCCTCAAGATGACTCGAGGACATTTTATGCCCGAGGATTCTCAACTGGTGGTCAAGGAAGTTGAACTACTTATGGTCGTCGTGCTCGAGGTGATATATTATGACCATATCACTGGCCCCCGTGCATCCATGCTCGAAGCTAAAGGATGGGTGCAGTGGTGCTGTGTGCTCGATGCCGAACCGTTTGCTTAAAATTTTTTATTACGTACTAGGGTTTACGTAATGATGATGTCAGCCCTGGTAAAAAATGGCGGTTAAAATTCTCACCCCTGGATGGGTGACGCGTGGCCGGATCTAAGGGCTGAGGAGGTGACCCTTGGTCTCCCCCTCCAGGAGGGCTATAAATAGTTCTTTTCCCCTTCATTTTTCACCTTTTGCCTCTCAGTAACTTCTTTGGCCCTCCTCGAGATCAAGTATCAAGGTAAGTCCTTGAGACCTTTAGTTGTTTCTTTAGCTCGTTTAAGTTAGTATGTCGAGTAGCGATAGCAGTAGCTCATCCTCTTCCTCGGGTTCGACACCTGAAGGTCAGCTTAGGTCAATGATCCCTATGGCCGAACCTCTGAATGTTCAGCCTTGAGCTCAGGTTAGCGCGATCCCTTTTACCTACCCCGACCAAAGCTGCACGTTTAAAGAGCATCTAGCAGTGGCGTGTGCTCGAGAGTATAAGGTTATGCCTGGTTGTGATGTTAGGTCTCCTGAGCCTGGGGATAGGATGGTGCTTGCTCGGGAATGGGAGTTTGTCATGTTCAGGGATTCCTTAACGGGGGGTTTTAGGTGGCCCTTATATCCCTTCTTCCTCACACTACTGGTCGAGTATAATATGTGTTCGGGTCAGCTGGTGCCAAATAGGTGGAGGATGTTAACTTATTTTTTTATCGCCTATAGATATCTAGGAATAGTTCCATATATCGACCTGTGTCGAATGGTGTTCGACTTTAAACAACTTCCCCAATTCACTTGCTTTGCATACCTATCAACCCAGGGAGGTTTTCAAGTCCCGAGGTTACCTACTTCCTTGAAAGGTTGGAAGGAAAAGTGGTTTTATGTCATTTATCGGGGATGATGCTCTTCCTTTTAGTCCTCGATGGGGGTTTCCTGATACGTCGAGCTTTTGTGAGGGCCAAGCCTATTTTGAGTCTCTGGAAAGGGATAGGCTTAGATTAGAGAATCTTGAGCCCCTTGTTTATGCATAGATGACATTCTCGGGAACGACATCCTTGATTTGGCAGAGATGCAATGGCTCGAGGGTAGGACTTGCTCTTTTATGTTGTTTGATTTATTTGAGGACTTTTTATCTCGGGCTTATGTGGTTATTTTGTGCAGAAATGCCATTCGACCCAAGTGCCATGCGCCAAGCTGTTGGGAGCAAGAGCAAGTCTCCCCAAACCCGGGCTCCGGGGCAAAAAAGAGGGAAGACAAGGCCTCGAGATTCCAGGTATGATCACCCTGCCAGCGGCCCGGGAGAGTCATCGAGGCCCGAAGTTATGATCCCAGATGCTCGCACTCCCCAGCCACCACCTCGAGGAACCCCAACGCCAAGAGCAGCCGCGGTTGTTGATCTCGAGAATGAGGGAGCTCCATCGTGCTCCGAGCAAACGGGGGATAGGGACATCCGTCACCTTGTCCCCGACCTCGTGGATAAATATCTGGGGATAAGGGCCCAGAGGATGGTGTGCTCAAGACTCTATTAACCAAGGTGAGCTCGAAGTTTCCCTTCCCGTTTCTGAATTATATTACCTTATTTTCTTGATGACAAGCTAATGCAATAATTTTCAAGCCTTAAGTGTTGCTCAAGGACTCGCATTGAAAGGGGCGGAAGGGTCCCAGAAGCTGGCTGGACTCCTCGAGGATATAAAGGCTCGAGATCAGCAGATCACTGAGCTAAAAGCTGAATGTGCCATTCTCGGGAGGGAGCGTACGAAGCCAGGGACGAGCTCCGACAGGCTCGAGATGAGGTCAGCTCCTCTCGTGATGAGGCCGAGGAGTTGAGACTGGAGCTCGAGCAAGCTCAAAAAGATTTTGAGGAAAAGCTGATGGGTGCTCATGATGAGTCAATTGAGGACTTTAAGACATCCGAGGAGTTCAAGAAGTTGCAGGGGGAGTATGGTATGGGCTCATACTTCCATGCACTGAAAGAAGCCCGAGCATTCATTCGCTCGAGGCTGGGAGCCAAGCTTGAGGACTTGAAGGGCATCCCCGAAGTGGCCTAGCAGCTCGAGCTGTCAGAGGATGAAGAGGCCGAAGACCCAGAGGTCAATGTTGATGGGGATGACGTGGAAGATGATCCCCCAGTGTCCCTGGACAACGCCGAGGTTGGGGGTTTAGATTAAAATTTCTTCTTGTAGGGAACATGTATTTTGAATGAGCACTGCTCGAAAACATTGTTATTTCTTTTTATTTTTG